TATGGATTTGAAGGGGTACATTTACCCCATTATTTATAGCAGCATTATCAACAGTAGCCAAATTATGAATAAAGCCCAAATGTCCATTGACTGATGAATGGATAAAGAAGGTGTGGTATATACATACAAGGGAATATTCCTCAACTATAAAAAAGAATGAAATACCTGTTTCCGATTCTGTGTCTCCCTCTCTCTCTGCCCCTCGCCCGTTCATGCTCTGTCTCTCTCTGTCCCAAAAATAGAAAATAAACGTTGAAAAAAAATTAAAAAAAAAATGGGGCGCCTGGGTGGCGCAGTCGGTTGGGCGTCCGACTTCAGCCAGGTCATGATCTCGCGGTCCGTGAGTTCGAGCCCCGCGTCCGGCTCTGGGCTGATGGCTCAGAGCCTGGAGCCTGTTTCCGATTCTGTGTCTCCCTCTCTCTCTGCCCCTCCCCCGTTCATGCTCTGTCTCTCACTGTCCCAAAAATAGAAAATAAACGTTGAAAAAAAAAAAAGAATGAAATATTGCCATTTGCAATGACATGGATGGAGATAGAGAACATTATGCTAAGGGAAATAAGTTAGTCAGTGAAAGACAAATAATAGCATATGATTTCACTCATGTGGAATTTAAGAAAAAAAACAAATCAACATGGGGGAAAAAGGAGTGAAGGAAACCATAAAATAGTTTCTTAACTATAGAGAATAAACTTAGGGTTGCTGCAGTGGAGGTTGGTGGGGGAATGGGTTAAGTTGCCAATGGGTATTGAGGAGGGCACATGTGGTGGTGGTTATTGGGTGTTGTATATAAATGATCAATCAGTAAGTTCTACAGCTGAAACTAATATTATGCTGTATGTTAACTAACTGGAAGTTAAATAAAAAAATGACTATCATCGATAGTGCTGCTATAAACATTGGGGTGCATGTGTCCCTTCGAAACAGCATACCTGTATCCCATGGATACATACCAAGTAGTTCAATTGCTGGGTCATAGGGTATTTATATTTTTAATTTTTTGAGGACCCTCCATACTGTCTTCCAGAGTGGATGCACAAGCTTGCATTCCCACCAGCAGTGCAAAAGAGATCCTCTTTCTCCGCATCCTCGCCAACATCTGTTGTTACCTGAGTTGTTAATGTTAGCCATTCTGACAGGAGTAAGGTGGTATCTCATTGTGGTTTTTATTTGTATTTCCCTAATGATGTACTGTATGCTAACTAATTTGGATGTAAATTTTAAAAATAATATTAAATAAAAACTTGAAACTATCAAAAAAATAAGGTTTACATAAAATGAAATAAATTGTCCTCTAAAGAAAAAAAAAAGGAACTAAACTATAGTATCCTGATATAGGCACCCCCTGACAGTTTCCTTACTACCACTTCAAATATTAATATGGCATTCCCAAAAGGTTCCAAAACAGATCTGATTTCAACTTTTCAGCATCCTCTAGGATTCCCTCAATTTGCTCTCATTCACCTAGATAGCTTGGAACTAGACCTTCTTGCAGGAAGACCTCAGCTTGAAGATACCTGGTGTAACAGGAAGAAGAGGCAGATATCTTTGTTATACAGTCCTAAAGTCAGAAACTAATGAGAATTGCTTGCTTATAGTTTCACAGCTAGGAAGTTGCCAATATGGCCATAGATTCTATTTTTCTAAGTCCTCACCTAACAGTAATATATCTTGGTAATAGAACTTCTTCTAAATTTTAGAGAATAACTACCATGGACTGAATGCTTGTGTCATAGTTGAATTAATATGTTGAAACCTAATCACCAGTGTGATGGTGTTTGGGGGATGGGCTTTTGAGAGGTGATTAGGTCATGAGAATTGAGCCTTCATAAATGGGATTAATGTCCTTATAATAGAGAACCTAGAGAACTCCCTTGCCCCTTCTTCCATATGTGGACACAGTGAGAAGACAGTCATTTATCAATTAGAAAGCAGCCCTTTACCAGATACCAGCCCTTTGTCAGCACCTTGATCTTGGGCTTCCAAGCCATCATAACTGTGAGAAATAAATGTTTGTTGTTTAGTCATCCCAGTCAATCGTATGTTTGTTATAGAAGCCCAAATGGACTAAGACATTTTCATGGACTACACTTCCCCAGGCTGCTTTGATTTCCCCAAATCTCAACTAAGAGAAAGGAGGGGCAAAACAATGCCCCAAGGTTCTCTGCAAACACGCTTTCCCATACAATCTAAGGTCAAGTTGGAGGAAGTGTGGTATAATATTAATAAGTGTACACACATTATGGTAAAGTTGATGGGTAATCTTCAGTCTTCTTTCAGTCAGCACTACAGGTATTTATTCTTCAACTACCCTGTGATAATTGTGGGCTTTTGAAATATTTTATTTGAATATAAAGGAGACCTGGGCTACCAGAGTTTCAATAATTTTCCAACTACAATGTCATATGTATAAGGCAGTTTATGTGCCAGGGAATATAAAAGTAGCTTTGCACTGATTGTGACATAATCATGTCACAGCTTTCCTGTGAAACAGATGTTACTAACCACATTATATAAATGAGGAAACTGTTAAACAGAGAAGTTATGCCACTTGCCTGAGTCCTCCCAAGTAGAAAGTGGCAGAACCTAGATTTGAATCCAGGCCTATCAGGCTCTAAGCCGATGCTCTTCATTGTTGTCAGGCTGCCTTTCTTTAAAGAGATTACTATTCCAAAAAGTTGCTAAGCTTTTTCCTTTTAAGAGGTTCTTTTATATAAAACAAATTTAATTTTAAGTGTTCTGTCAGGAAAAAAAATATAGATTGTAAAAAGGTAAAACATATGGGGCACCTGGGTGGCTCAGTCAGTTAAGTGTCCAACTTCGGCTCAGGTCATGATCATGTGGTCTGTGAGTTTGAGCCCCGCATCAGGCTCTGTGCTGACAGCTTGGAGCCTGGAGCCTGCTTCAGATTCTGTGTCTCCTTCTCTCTCTGACCCTCCCCCACTCACACTCTCTCTTTCTCTCTCTCTCAAAAATAAATAAACATTAAAAAAGTTTAAGGTAAAACATAGGTTAACTTATTTTTAAGGAAGTTGTTGGTTTATGAAAAAATAAAAATTAAACTGCACTTTCAGGCTTCCAAATACTCTACACAGTTGAAATCATTAGGCTGTGTAGTAAAACAGAAAAAAAAATAACCACATGATATATTTCTTACTTGGGATCCTGGTTCTGTCATGTACATACTAGCTGTGTGATCCTGGGCAAGTTACCAAAATATATATAAATTACCTATATGTTCAGAGTGGCCTATATGTCCAGAAGATTCAATGAGATCAGGTATATAAGGTGACTGATGATGCCTGGTATGTGGAAGACGCTCAACAGATGGTAAATGTTATTGTTATGGCTATTATTAAGAACAACACTAATGGGGTAAAGAAGTAAAAGAGAAGGTAAATTAAAACTGGTTTGTGTGAGGATCTTAATAGTATGATTCATTGTTACTTTAAGCATGTTTTAGGAAAGAACAACACAGAAAAATGTGTAGATTCTCAATAGTAAATGAATACTAATGATGATGACAGAGTCCTCTTCTGTTAGGGCTAGGTGCCAGAGAGATTCTGCCTATACTCTGTTACTGCTTTTCATTTTGAAGCAGGGAGCTATAAGATGGAGGGAGTTAAGAGAATTTGGTTCCTTATATTGGTTGAGAATAGCCTGGAAGCACGTTAAGTCCAGATTTTTTAATTTTTTTGTATTATTTATTTTTGACAGAGAGAGAGAGAGAAAGAAAGAACACAAATGGGAGAGGGGCAGAGAGAGAGGGAGACAGAATCCAAAGCAGGCTCTGTGCTGACAGCAGAAAGCCCAAGGTAGGGCCAAACCCACAAACTTCGAGATCATGACCTGAGCTGAAATCAGAGGCTTAACCAACTGAGCCACCCAGATGCCCCTTAAGTCCAGATTATACTTAAATACTGTGGTTGAAAAAATCAAAGTGTCTAGCTATTAGCAAGGAAAAATAGCAAACATCCATGTCCTGCTATTCAAATTCACAGAAACATGTTTTTCAGAGAAATCTTGGTCTTAAGAGATGTTCTGAGGTGGGCTTTCACCTCTCTTTTGAGATTATTTGAAGCATATCTAAACAACTGAATATGTGAAGCAGTGTAGAAATAACACCTATTATTACACAGGTTTGAAGTTGCTTTACATTTAAATCTGAATGTCTCTTCTTTATAAACATTTTTAAAACTTGATCGATATTCCACTTGATGTTTTAATAAAGTATTTACTTTTAGAAAAAGTAGTTGGCTGAGTTACTGCATACTGTGACTTCTCAGCCATCATCTCTTGGGGAAATGATTGACTTGCTTTGCCAGTTATGCATGGAAACCACCACTCATCTATTGACAGCTTCCAAAACTGCAAGTAAAAACCATCACAGGAATAATCTATGTTCAAGTGGATGAACCTAGTCAATTTAGTCTTATTTTAGTAATGGGAAATGCCATGCTTCCCATAAGACTAATAATTCCTGAACAAAATCATTTTAAATGTCAGGAGAAAGCTTCCATGATTATATTCCATGGGAAAAAAACTAAGCAATTTAAACATGACAAAGACAGCATAACATTCGGCAAATAGTTGACCTCAAACTACCAATTTGAAGCAAAAAATCTCAAATTACTTCAAAGTGTGAGTTAAGTGATGGGGCACCTGGGTGGCTCAGTCAGTTAAGCAGCGGACTTGCTCAGGTCATGATCTTGCAGTTTGTGTTTTCGAGCCCCACATTGGGCTATGCGCTGACAGTTAAGAACCTGGAGCCTGATTTGGATTCTGTTTCTCCCTTTCTCTGCTACTCCCCCACTCTTGCTCTGTCTCTGTCTCTCAAAATTAAATGAACATTAAAAAAAATAAAACAAAGAAACAAAAAAAAAAACAAAAAAACACAGTATGAGTTAAGTGACCCAGGTTTCATGTTTAACTGGATATCAAACACAGCTTTTTACACCAAAAAAAGCTTTTTAAAAATTTTATAAAATGAATGTATACATTACCTGGTAATTGTTTTGGTTTTGTGATAACTTCAATTGGTTTGATGATGCGAAATGTGAAGAAAAATTACTCCGTGATGGATTTGTATTACTGTACATTGTAGTAGCTACTGAATGCAATGAGGTCCGTGGTGTCAAATGGTAGTCTCTGCTTTGATAGAGTACATTGTCTGCCAAGTCTCTAATATTCACCATTTGTGAATTTGGCATATTTCTTCCTGGTCCAGGAAGTACTGTACTTTGGTTCTCTGCTCCAAGGGATCTGCCACTTTCATAAAATCTTGAGTAGCTTGGTATCTGTGCTCCCATCAATGCCAACTCTTCTTCTTTGGCATACTCATCATCAGCATCTCCAGTCTCCATTGCAATGGACAGACAAGTTCCTTCTGCTGAACTAGGCTTCTGTGGGGCATTTCCTCCCAGAATTCTCTGGGGGTAATCACTAACAGCCAATGAAAATACTTCACGGATTTCCAAGTTTTGCGTTCTACAGTAAGGGTCTCTAATAGGTGGCTTTTGCCCACATAAGTTTTGTGATGCTAAACTCATGTGTTCAGGCTTATATGACCTCTGAATTCCAACTGGTTCAATTTTGCAAGGTCGGTGGCACATAGATGGCTTTTGAGGTACCATCATCTCAGAGGCCTGCATTGAAGCGCTTCCATAGTTTTTCTTTGTGTGACTGTATACTGAATTTCCAGCATTTAGCACACTTGTCTGTCTTGACAAGATAATTGTTTTTTCACCTAAGAGCAGAGAAGCATTTTTACAGTGTGCTACTTGTCTTTGAACAGGAATGTGCAACTGAAACTCAGTATCATTTTTACTGGCAGTTTTCTGAATAGGAATTTTATGTGCTTCTGTAATTTGTGTATCTGAATGTTTGGTTGTCCCTTGCCTACTTGATGAACTTGCTGGACTGTATGCATCAGTTACAATGTCATCATTATTGGCAGATGTCCAAGAAGACTGTTGGCTTGACGGTCGAGTGATATTAACTACATTTCTGACTGTAATGTCCGGAGCTGTCAAAGAGGTACTGGGAAGAGTTCCTGTTGTTGCTCCTGATTCAGAATTCTTACTACTCATTTTTCTTCTCTTATTGCCAACCCACGTCTGTAAGGATAAAAAAATGATATTATAGAAATGTTTTTAACAAAAAAAGAAAAAAAAAACTTTCAATGTGATAAATTGTGTTCTCATTGTCATAGAACTAAAGCCTATAAATTTTTCAAACAAAAATATACAATAAAAGAAAAAGTAACTGAAGTATAAGGTCAAAAAAGTAAAAAATAAAGTATATGGTCAGACATGTTCAAGAACTTGCACTCAATAACTATGTAAGAACTTTGATAATAGAATTGTATTACTGCTTCTGTCCTCAAAACCCATTCAATTAACCTGTAGCAAGAACCCTAAAAATGTTTACATCCCTTTTGTAGTAAATCCATTTCTGGGAATTTATCCTAAAAACAATCATATACAAAGTTATATGGAATTATGTCCATCATATATTTATTTATAATAGTGAGACATTGGAAGGATACTAAAGATAGGGTATTTAATGACATTGGAAAATGCTCATAATATTATTAAACAAATATATACTTGTAATCTTCATGTTTAACAATGTTATATGACTATATCACAACTTGGTTAATTTAATATTGCTAGATATTACTGGGTTATTTTTAGAAATATTCACTATTATAAATCATAATGAAGTACATGTCATTGTATATGCATCTTTGTGCTATTGGTCCATTACAATGCTATCCTAGAAGGAAAAGTGTTTGATTTTTTGATATTTTCAAAGTACTGTCCAAGAGTCCGGTTTCCCCACAACCTCATCAACATTTTACATTATCTTTTTGTAGTCTTTACTAGCCTAGGAGTTAATATAAGGTATATAATTGCTATTTTCATTTGAATTTCTATGGTTACTGTATTACATTAATAAAATCACTTACCCATTAACTTTACTCATTTTTATATTGGTATATTTGTCTTTTTAAATTGATACAATGGAATACTGCTTGGCAATGAGAAAGAATGAAATCTGGCCACTTGCAGCAACATGGATGGAACTGGAGGGTGCTATGCTGAGTGAAATAAGCCAGGCAGAGAAAGACAGATACCATATGTTTTCACACATATGTGTATCTTGGGAAACTTAACAGAAGACCATGTGGTTGGGGAAGGGGAAAAAAAAGTTACAGAGAGGGAGGGAGGCAAACCATAAGAGACTCTTAAGGACTGAGAACAAACTAAGGGTAGATGGGGGTGGAGGAGAGGGGAAAATGGGTGATGGGCAGGAAGGAGGGATGTTGGGATGAGCACTGGGTGTTGTATGGAAACCAATCTGACAATAAATTATATTAATAAATAAATAAAATAAAAATAAAAGCAATTTTCTACTAGAAACAGCAACACTTTGTCACAAGTTGCAAATATTTTTCCCACTTTGTCATTAATTCATGGTAGTTATTTCCCTCCCTATACTTTACATACCAAATAAATTTTTTTTTAATGTTTATTTATTTTTGAGACAGAGACAGAGCATGAGCAGGGGGGTGGGTAGAGAGAGATGGAGACACAGAATCCGAAGCAGGCTTCAGGCTCTGAGCTGTCAGCACAGAGCCCGATGCGGGGCTCAAACCCACCAACCATGAGATCATGACCTGAGCCATAGTCGGACGCTCAACCGACAGAGCCACTCAGGCGCCCCACATACCAAACTTTATATAGTGAGTGTATATTATTTTTATAAATGAAAAAAATATCATTAATAAAAATAATATAAGAGGTTGGCATTTAGTATTTGATTACAAAATATGCACTTTTATATAACTGATTTGTTGTAACAATCTAGTATTATACTGAATTATGATTATGCAATAAGAAATATGTAATAAGAAATATTACATTCCCTAATGTGATCAGCAAACTTTATAATTATTTCAAAATACATACCATACTATAAACTACCAAAACACATTAATCTATTATGAATTAAAGAAAAAATAAGTAAGTGAAAACATTAAATCAACTAGCCTTGCACAAACATGGTGCAAGGTATATTTGGTTAACTTTTAGGTGATTTGTTTTTGAAGACCACAAAAATTACTGTTTTTAATGTTTATACAATCTACATTAAAGTTTCTATAATACTATAAATAACATTTTTTTAATTTTTTGTTTATTTTTTGAGAAAGAGCAAGCCAGGGGAGGGAGCAGAGAGAGAGGGAGAGAGAAATCCCAAACAGGCTCCATACTGTCAGTGCCAAGCCTGACATGGGGCTTGAACTCACAAACAGTGAGAGCATGACCGAAGTTGAAACCAAGAGTCGGACGCTTAACCAACTGAACCACCCAGGCACCCCTAGAATACCATAAATAAAAGCTAACATGTATTGGATCCTCACTGTGTGTTTACATTTTTATTGGCTTCTTTGATTATTTTCCTAATTGTATAAATAAAAACACTGATGTTCAGAAATATTAGGTAGCTTATAGAAGGATATCCTGTCAGCAACTGGCAGAGCAAGGATTCAAAATACATTTCACTTGACCTCAAAGCACATTCTCCTTCCACTATGGCAAGAAACTCCCGAAATTTTCATCTTTCTTGGCCATTTTACTTTTATAATTAGTATTTTTCTAACAAGAAAATATTCCAGAGATGTAGATGCTCTACTTTGCTTCACATGAGGCTGTCGGAATTTTAAACTATGATTTAGTTTTACTGAATAGCAGAGGTGTAAACTACAAGCAAAATGACAAATAAATATAAATATCAAAGGAGAATGAAAAGGATTTATAGAATAGAGTAGAAAAATGAAGGGATTTAAAGTATATACTCAAAAGAAATATTTAAATAGAAATATTTTTGGATAAATATAATTTCAGTGTATGGTTCAAAAAGGTGAATTTTACAAATGTTAAAAATAAATTACTGTGTTATGGCTTTTTAAGTATGAAAAATGTGCATATGAAGAATTATGCATTTGTTCATAATTTTTACAAAAATTTGTAAGAATTACATTTTAAGTCTTTCAGTGGGAAAGCATAGTGAATTTGTAAAATTTGAATTCAAGAACTATTACATCTGGAAAGCAGCTCTGGGCAATATTTCTAAGAAAACAAATAAATGTTCTCATTACTATAAATACCTTAATACAGGAAGTTTAAGAATGATCTTAGTGTATTGCAAATTTATGGCTTATTTTAATAGTTTTACTGTTCATTATATATATTATACATAGAAATATGTACATATACCATATACAGTTGCTTATAGACTTTATTAGATATTTATATTATGAACCCCTCAAAAAAGTAAAATGTAGTAGAATATCATGTGCATATGAAGATTAGCTAGCTAACAAACTCACTTGTCAAGAACACAGCCAACATAGATATCACAAGATACAGGTACCTTACTAAAAGCACAACCCTTGCCCTTAAAACACACTTTCTCCTATTTTATACATGATTTCATCAAATATAGTATTCTACTCTATAGCAAATTAGAAATAAAAAAAGTAGGCAGAACATTGGTATAGAGATTGCAATTAGAGGCAACTTGATGGCACCAAAACTAAGAATGCCCATGAAATTTTATTCACCAAAAATAAGAAAGGAAGAACATAACAGAATTAATGTGAGAAATAATTAAATGCTTTGGGGTACTTTAGTGAAGAAGAAAACCACCCCATATAGCTTACCATGTAGTGAGCAGTATTATTTTATACCACAGTACAATAATTCATTTCCATAATGAAACTATGGGTCAAAAGTAAGGTTTCATATTTTCAATATTTTCCATTGAAGTTAAAGTAGGAAAGTGTATATTTAAGAAATATTTTAAAAATTCTGAAAATAAATTCATTGCCTGAGCATTCCCAATAACTAAATTAAATTTTACTTAAAGTTATTCATTTACAGGATACAAAATTTACCAATGCTTATAGGCTATAAATTATTCTCATTCAAAATGACTCATTGGAGAAAGAGAAAATAATGGATCAAACAAAACTGATATGATAAGAATTTGGGAAAACTAACAAAACAATACTACAGAAAAAAAAAGAATGAAAGAAAGAATGAAAGAAAGAAAGGAAGGAAGGAAGGAAGGTGAAAGAAAGAAAGAAAGAAAGAAAGAAAGAAAGAAAGAAAGAAAGAAAAAGACATTAGGTCACCAATTCTTGGTGTCCATAAAATTCTCTTTCAGTTCTCTTTTTGAAATTCATGGTCTCCAAACTGTTTTTTTTTTTTTGTTTGTTTGTTTTTTTCTACATACCTCCTTCTTTGGTTTCCCTGTTCCATTACTCTACTGTTTATTTTTGCATGGACTTAATCTTTTAAGTTCATTTTACATTAGGATCAGGTTCTTAGTACCATGGTATTTGAGGGTTTTTTTGAGGAAAACACAACAAATACTATATTAAAAATAATAAAGAAAAGTCTCTTTCAAGTAGAATATTGGAATAAGATATTGAAGGCAGGGGAGGTCATGGAATGATGAGTCTATAAACAACTCCTTTCTCCTCAGATGGGAAAAAGCAACCAAAATTGTGTTGGAATTTAGATTAGGAAGACTGAATTTCTGTATGATTTACACTCTTCTAGAACAAAAAGAATCTGTTTTACACAATTCCTTAAAACTTAAATAATATTTTACTTGTAAGCTTACAATCTAGGAGTTTACTTCTCTCATTCTCATTGTTTTAGATTCCATACCATTTGGATCATAAATATAAATCTTTGTATTTCAGCACTCTCAATATACAAGTACAATCAAATAAGTTATTAGAGGAAGATTGCAATAACAAATTGGAAATATGAAAGGTAACATAGTCCACAAAGCAGCTGTTTGAGAAGGCTTTTCACTTTAAAGTAATGATAAAATAGAAGGAAAAAAGAAAAAAGTTACTCCAAGAAAAAAAAAATGAGTTTATACTTATAAAATGCAATTTCATCAATCTGAAATATTACCCATTTATCCTTTCTAAGGCAATTAAACATTTTTCTCTGAGGTTTACTAAATGGAAATAAAGATTTGAATTTACTAAAAGGACAACCTTGACCTTAAAACATACTTTCTCTCAGGGTGCCTCGGTGGCTCAGTTGGTTAAGCGTCAGACTTCTGCCTAGGTCATGATCTCATAGTTCCTGAGTTCCAGCCCTGTGTTGTGCTCTCTGCTGACAGCTCAGACCCCAGAGCCTGTTTCAGATTCTGTGTCTGAGTCTCTTTCTCTGCCCCTCCCCCACTCATTCTCTGTCTCTGTCTCTCTCTCAAAAATAAATATTTTTTAAAAATTAATAAAAAAATACTTTCTCTCATTTTATACACAATTTTACCAAATCTGGTACAAAAAAACCATTAAATAGTCTGGTTCTATCATAAAGAAAATCAAGCTGTAAATTCAAGTAGGGAATTCAGAGCTACCAATAGGACTATTTCTAGTTCTTACAAAAATCGGAATAAGATGGTTGATCTCATCAGATAAAAAACAGTTATCATGTGATATTTCCATCCTATAATTTAGGAGTTCAAAGGTGAATACATCTTCTAGTCGTTAAAAAATAGATTTTCCAAAGAATTCTGCTTATCAAGAGATTTTTATCTTTAGGGTCTTTTGAAGGGTCCTCCAAAAGAAAAATGGACTTAAAAACAGGTGTGCCTTTTCTTTGCCAAATTAGCTTAATGAATGGCAAGAAATGGAAAGTTGCCAATCTTTGAATTCCTAAGGTATCTTTGAATTCCTAAGTGTCTGTAGCATATTCAGACAAACATGAAAGGAACTATAGAATCTGTGACTAGTTCTGTTAGATTTATCTCTTGTCTCCTCTCTATCACCTTCTCATTGCCATTCACAGAAGTTTAGGGGCTCTGATTTATTTTATTTTATTTTACTTTATTTTATTTTGTATGTATTTATTTTATTATAATTTTTTAATATTAAATTTATTGTCAAATTGGTTTCCATATAACACCCAGTGTTCATCCCAACAGGTGCCCTCTTCAATGCCCATCACCCACTTTCCCCTCCCTCCCACCCCCCATCAACCTTCAGTTTATTCTCAGTTTTTAAGAGTCTCTTATGGTTTGGCTCCCTCCCTCTCTAACTTTTTTTTTTTCCTTCCCCTCCCCCATGGTCTTCCGTTAAGTTTCTCAGGATCCACATAAGAGTGAAAACATATGGTATCTGTCTTTCTCTGTATGACTTATTTCACTTAGCATAACACTCTCCAGTTCCATCCATGGGGCTCTGATTTTTACAACTGAATAACTATGGTTGTGATAAAGGAAAACTTCCTCCCTGGGATTTCTTGTTCCTTACGCATTAGGTTACCCATTAAAATGCATGTATTTTACTTAGAAAAAAGGGGGCGGTATTCATTAAAAATGCCAGCTTTTCCTAAAAAGACAAAAATGCTGAAATTAAAAATGCCTGATGACAAACCTTCCATACTGCGCCACCACAACTGTTATTGTTACGGGCTAACAGCTAGTTAATAAAGCTAAAGTACTGACATTTTCAGCTATGAAAAAAAAGGGCCTGATGAAAAAAATTCAAGTACACGAAGAAAATATGCTAGGTACACTATAGTCCCTTGGTAAATGCCTGTTTTACTGATACCATTTTGGTGGGTTATGTCCAGATTAATTCTGGGTTTAAAGCAGGCATAGGATAAACAAGTAATCTTAAATGTATTCATTAGTTCAAAGGACTGGGATTTTTTTAGAGGTATGTTTACAATGCAAAAGTTTTAGTGTTCTCAAGGTGTTTACAGAAACACATACTAAATGATTACTTATATTTAAAAAAAAAAGTAGTATTTTTACACCAGGAAAATGAAACTGTTTATAAAGTTAATGACTTCACTCTATGAAGCAATTATCACTTACAATAAAAAGCTATAAATTCAAGAGTTAAGACCTCAATACTTACCCTGACTACACTGAAGTCCAGCTTAGTCTCCTGTGCACACTGTAATATGAGCTGAAAGCAATTTTTACTTTGATTTGTCATTCCATTTTCGTAATAACGCTGTAAAATCCTTTGTTGTTCTACAGTAAATACAGAACGCAGATTCATCTAAAAATAAAAGAAGATACTCTGAAAATTGGAATAAAAATTGGGTATATGCAAAATTTGTATGCTTTTTTTTGATAAAGTTTCAGTGCTTTGAAACTGCAAGATTCATTTAAGTGAACTAATTCCCAGCAATGGGCAATAATTTGTGTGCTAAAGGGAGACAGGTTATAATGGAAAATTATATATAATGAAAACACTTATTAAATTTGTTCCTCAAAACTAACTTTAAAGACAAAATAAAAGAAAGAGAGGAAAACCTTTATCTAATTAGTGTCAGTCCATAGGGAAATAAAGGTTCTTTCAAAGAAATAAATATGTCTAGTAAAGACAGAAATGGTGGTACCCATACATTCATGGTCAATTATCAACAGAAACACTCACTGTTCTTTGTCAAACAAGGCATCTGACACATGTCTTACAACCAGAAACTATGGTGTGAAACAAAGGGGTGCTTTTATTTTTCCTCTTTCTTGAATAAAGGGGTTCATTTTATATATTAAAACAGAACCTCTCTTAAAAAGCTTAAAAATAAAGTGTTGGTGACTAAAAATATCTTTGCTTTAGGCAATACTAACAAAAATAATTATTTTTAATCATGATAGTATATAAATCAAAATTCAAAATCATGTGAATTTTACTAAAAACAAACCATGTAAAAATTACATAATTTTAATTAAATTGACACCATCATAATTATACAAGAGAAATGTTAATAATGCATTTTATCCTTCCTATAAATATGCAATGTGTTTAATATTAAGAGAAAACCTGTAAATCTCACAAATAAAAGGCAGTGCAAACTCTTTTTTTTTTCTTTTAAAGAGGATGAATTCTAGTTGTGCATTTTATAAAGAAGAACTCTTGTAGTTAGATTAAGGCAACTTCAGGTTCTTATTAAAAGTGGTCACACTGAAATTGTTATTCCTAAAAGTTTACAGAAAGAACATCCTTTCTAAGGAAATTACCCCTTCAAAATTAGGAAAATAGCAACAACAAAAGCACTATAAGCCAAACCAAACAGAAATCATTCTAGTATACTGGATATGGAAACAATTTAGTACATTGACATGTAAATAAAAATAATTTTCTTTCTTCTGGATATGTTGAATAATTAAGGCAGTCTCACAAAGAAATTAAAAAGTCATATAGCCATCTATTGCTATTTGTATACCTGACTTTTTCCACCTCTATCTAATGTTAAGAAATCTAATTAGACAAAATCAGATGCAGAGAGGACACAGGAAAGATGGAGTAGAGTTTCTCCCTGAAACTTTCAGGAACAACAACAACTCCACTAACTTTCTGAAGGGGATCTGATTCTGCAATGTAACCAAACTTTCATGGATGTTTGGACCAGAGGGTAGTGATGGTATCCATCAAAGCAACATTTGCTATCAGGGCTGTCAGCTTTCAAAGCAATGTGAAATTCCTTCTCCTAAATAATTCAGCTACAGTCAGGAGAGGAACCAGAAGGTAGAGGGCAAATACCTAAAATATGTTAGCTGGTATGGATTTAGAAGCAAGGTATTTTGGAATGAGTTCTGAGGAGGGACATAAACTTCAATTCACTAATGCGTAAACAGGGTAATGGCTCTGATCCTTCTCTGAAGTGCTATAACTACAAAAACAAAAATTCCTAGAATGCAAGATATGGGTGATCCTCAAGTGTGATGATAACTGCTGTAAAATTTAGGCATGTTTTCCTATTGGCTGGCTACAACTGTTAAATTTACTCAAGTATGATATAAGCATTAAAAAGCATAGCAGGTTCTCATATGGTTTCACTCTTATGTGGATCCTGAGAAACTCAACAGGAACCCATGGGGGAGGGGAAGGAAAAAAAAAAAAAAAGAGGTTAGAGTGGGAGAGAGCCAAAGCATAAGAGACTGTTGAGAACTGAGAGCAAACTGAGGGTTGATGGGGGGTGGGAGGGAGGAGAGGGTGGGTGATGGGTATTGAGGAGGGCACCTTTTGGGATGAGCACTGGGTGTTGTATGGAAACCAATTTGACAATAAATTTCA